GCATGGGTAACCTTTGACATTTCTTCTAAATCTGGTATTCGTTGGCTTGCAAGGTATAGACTTGCTCCATTTGTTTGAGCTTCCAAAATGTCTGCAAAAAATATATCAAACGATGGATTTACTACTTGATAAATGATGCTACTTGATTTGATACTCAACAACTCCGCGTAGTTTAGTACCAAGTTATTGAGTCCATAAAATTCGGTGCAGATTCCTTTCGGTGTACCGGTACTCCCTGACGTAAAAGTCATGTAGGCCAGATTATGCTGAGTCAATTTTTTTCTTAATTCTTGGTCAGAATATCCAGAAATCACAGTAATTATTTCGTTAATATCATGTCCAAAAACAGAATTTTGCCCCTCTGAATTCTGAAGCATTGTTCCATAGAAATTTTTGGAAATATATTGATTTGCGACGTTATTTTCTTTGCATTCATAAACGACAGCTGGATATGATAATTTTGCAAGGATTTCGTTTAATTGCTCCAAAGAAGTCTCAAGATTCAAAGGAGCTACTCCTATACCACATTTCCACAGAGAGAAAATTGAAAGCAGAAGAAAAACAGATCGGTCTAAAATAAGTATCACAAAACTATCATTTCTCATATCTTCTCCCAGAAACTGTAACCAACGTTGCGTAAGAAATCTTGATAATTGATTACTTTTCTGTTGCAAGAATACATTCGAGAATGGCACTCCTCTTTGAATAATTGTATTACCGTAAAAGTTCATTTTGTTTTGCTCATCAATTATATTCAAAACTGTGCATTTTTGCGGAAAATCACATCGATTTTCAAGCCTTAACTTATAATCCATAAATTCTTCCATAGAACTTACCATTTTTATGCTTTTAATAAGCATATGCAAATTTTGAGACATTTTATGAAGAAGTCTAAAATACTGCTGTACCATTGTTTCTATCGTATTTTTATAGAAACGGCTACTATTATATTCAATTTTCAATGTCATACTTTCATTATAATACTGAAAATGCCAGACCTGATCATATTGTGCAAAGTTTGATTCATTACCATCATCATTGTAAGAAATGTCACCGCTGTCGTCCGAAATAAACAAAACCTGGAAAAGAGGCGAATTTGGCAAATCGCGTTCTAAACGCAAGGCTGCTATCAAATCATCGAATTGCAGTTGTTTTTGGATGCTTTCGTTCAAATGTTTATAAGATTTTGTAATGAAATCATGAATTCGATCATTGGGATTAATGGTATTGATCAGTGGTACCACATTTAATAAACAACCAATAATGGTGCATAGCTCAGAGGTTTCTCTTTGAGCAGTTATTATCCCAATGCAACAGTCCTTAAATCCATATCTTTTGTACTGCAGAAGTTGAAAATTGGTAAGAAGGACAGAAAATTGTGTCACGGAGCACCAAATAGCTAAATTTTGCAAACTTTTCTGGATTTTAGAATCTATTTTAAATTGTAAGCAACGACCTGAATATTTCCCTGCTTGAAGTCCAGTTTCATCTACGGGCAACTTTTGAAGAGTAACGTCAAGTAGCAGATGTTTCCAGAAAGCTTTATATAATTTTCGATTTTGTCTCTGTTGATCTTCCATAAGAACAAAATGTCCATATTGATAAGGTATTGATCTGAGAGATTTTTCTTCATAGTAAAATATACGCAGTTCATCTGTTAATAGTTTGATAGAAGAACCATCAATCATAATGTGATGTATCTGGATGACAATTAGATTTGAATTTTTGATATCTGTGTTCATAGTTTGTTTCTTTCCCAGGATTCGCTGATCTTTTTCCTGACAAATTTCATTAGAAATGCTTTCCTTTATTTTTTTATTGTCTTTATTATCTTCTTGTTCAGTGACAAATATCCTCATTGGAATAAACGAGTCAAATAGGTCAATTGGTTTCAACAATTTCCACACATATTCACATTCTGCAGAAATCCAGAAATAAGCTTCGGTAAGAGATAAAATTGTTTGACCTGTTAATGTATAAATCGTTCGTAATGCTGTATGTCTTGCCACCACCTTATTGAATGCTCTTTGGAGTTGATGAATTTTTAAACTTTTAATACTAAATTTCAAAATTTCGACAAAATTTAATTCACGTTCGATGTCTAACTGATGAAGGAAAATTAGTCGTTTTTGCGCTGCACTTAGCGGTATTTCAGCGCCGCTTCTAACGATCTTCGTCAACTTTTCGGTAAGAAGCTGAAAGTTTGTAGTTTTCTTGCTTTCAGGAATACTACTTCCTTGGATAGAGCTTTTCAGAATATAATCAGCCAAAGCACTAATATTAGGATGTCGATGAGCGCTTCCATAAGGTATCGAAAATTTTCCACTAAATTCGCTCTCCAAAACAAACTCCAACCTTGCTAATTTTAACGAATCAAAGCCAAGTGATATAAATGATGTTCGATTGTCGTTGCACGGCGCTTCAACTATGGCCTCTACTGCCTTACGAATTTTATTAATTATTGATAATCTATTTGCCTCGCTTGCAATAGATTTTGAGATCATTGTATCATCATAAAAAGCGCAATGATCCGAGATATTAGTTTTTGTCGAACTCTGAATTTCTTGTTTAATTCTTTTCATGTCATAGACATGAGATTCATGAAGATTATTGTCGTATCTTCCTAACTTTTCGCGAGTCTTTTCGTAAGCTTTATTTGCTCCTTCTTCTGGAAATCTTTTAATATTTTCCGAAAAACTGATCCCTTTAACATAACCACATTCAAATCCATCAAAACCATATAGTTTTACACTTATTTTGATAAATTTAGATTCTGCAATTGCAACCCATAATTGTCGAAAAATCGCTGCCGGTAGTGCAATTTGCTCAACTTCTTTCACTGATATTAGTAAACTGGTTTCGAAATGCACTTGCAAAGAGTACTTCAGAAAGGTCAAGATCTCACTATCCGGAACAATGTATTCATTGTCGTTACTAAAACTAAAACAAAGTACTGTCGTGAATTCTCCACCCTTTACTACTTCGTCATCTTTTCTTTTCCACACCGAAACATCTTGCAAAATCTTTGACTGCACTTTATCCAAATTATCAATTTTGAACATATTAACTAAAATTTTATCTAAGTTCTGGCATAATTTTGTCTGCCAGTAACGTATTTCCCCAGCATACCCTTGAATTGTACTGTTTCCAGATAAAACCTTAAGAAGTTCCAATTTATTCAGTCCAGCAGCTGATTCCAGCAATACTTTTCGACTTGGTTCTGGATCCATTCGTCCACTGTCAATTTTAACAGAATCAAGCACAAGCAGTAATGAATTATCCCCAAATCTTCTTCTGCTTTCGATGATTATTGGTAACAAAACTTGCTTCAAATCCATTTCAAAATCCTGTAAAGTAATCTTTGTCTGTAAAATAAGACTGAATTCATGCCCTGTGACCGATTGTGTATAACTAAAGTAATTAAAATGGAATTAATGAAAAATCAAAAAAAAATTTTTCTACTCATTTTTATTAAAATACACTTATAATATGACCGACCAGTTTGTTACTGTCTTTCATCTAACACCAATTATCAAATTATTTTTTCTTATTTTTTCTCCCACTACAATATTTGTTTAATATTATCAGTAACTATTCCCTTTTGATAATCTAACATCTAGAGAATTATTAAAAATGACATCCCTCTTTCCCAATTGCGCAGTTTCGCAATGATGGCAACTAATTGCTTAGATGAATTCTATTTTCTCTCACCATTTGATGATGATATCCGATTAGATCATATTTTGAAGTGAACTGGACCGAAACAACTTATAGGGAATGATAAGCGTCTTATGAGAAGAGTGAAGCATTGCATTACAGACTGACACTTTAAAGCGTAGAGATTAGTGTAATTAGGTCCAAAATAATAACTAATTTTGCAAGAATTATATTAGCTGTTTTTTTCTCTTTTAAATTTCTTCAACTATTATTAGAGCAAAATGTTGGTTATTTGAAGTTGCAATCACACAAAATTTTCATTTTTTTGTCTAAAAATACAATTAAAAAAAAATTTTTCCTTCCCAATACTTCATGGCCTGATTAATTCTAATTGAATTGCATGAAATTTTCGCAAAGTTGTTGAAAAGTTTCCTAATTTGTTCAGCAAAAAATTTAATGAAAAAACTATAACATCTGCTTGATAGTGAATGGGCAAACTGTTTAGATCTGCTTAATTTAAATGATAAAAGACTGATTATCAGATATAATGTGATATATCAAACACTGGAGAAAAAATTTCCCTTGAAACTTTTTTTTCAGATAGAGAAGTTAGGAATAATTGATGCAATTCAGATATTTCAATTATCCAACATTTCTTTTCGTCAGTGTGAAAAAGAAGGAATGATTTGTTTAAATGTTGTAAACTTTTTCGTCATACATTATTTTATTGATTCTCTTAAAATAATCGTTTTGAAATGAACTGTGTAAATCAAATTAAAATTACCATTAAGGCAATTCCAGAAAAACTGCTGAAGTCATTAATTTTTTCAATATTAGCATTCTTTAAATTCAAATGTAACATAAACCATAGTATTCATTATCTTACTAATATTCTATAGAGAACTTCAGAATAGTCTATTATTTCCTCTCTTATTTGCTTCCTTATTTATTTGTTGTTTACTTAAACTTAAAAAATTGGACTTAAAATGTCAGTTTTGGGAAAATCCCAAGATTTTGAGACGGACATTTTCTGAAATATTAGTCCAAAACATGAATTTATGTTTTAATGTGAAAGAAAATATCTCTCTGTGCATAACCAATTTATTTTATCTCTTAAACATAAACAGACAGATAATTCCAAGTAGTTAGAAGAAATTTGAATCCGCTGAATTCAAGCTATAGATCACAAATAAAAATTCATTACGAGCTTTCCGAAGTTTCGAATAATAGATTGTCGCAAAAACAAAGAATTTGATTACTTTCGAGTTTTTAAGATTTGACGAAATTTGAATTTCGGAATGTTTCTAAATAATAAGCTTAAAATGTAGAAAGTCTTATATCGGTTAAAGTTCTGTTCTATTAAAATACCGATCAATTTGATCCGATTCAATAAGGAAATGTATGGCAGTTTGAATCACTGATTCCCCATTTAGTGCAATTTCTTGAAATGTTGCAATCGTGTAATTGATCGTGAAGACTGGATTCAAATTTGGTGGTAGCATTATGTCGCCAATTCTGTATATAATCGATTCTGCTCCTGAATTGTCGAAACTTCCAATAATCAACGAGCAATTCAGAGTTGACAGAGCACTCTGAAAAGTTTTTCATCTATGAATTACAAATAATTACCATTCGCAGACGTCTCTCTTCGATATTTCGGTGCACTCTATAGCGATTAGAAATGTCCAATAATTTGGTTTCTCAAAACAATGAGGAGAAGGCTTTTGTGAGCAGAAGAAAGAAAGAAACTCTAGTAAGTAAATTTATTGTTTTGTTTACAAGTGTAGTAGTACAGTTATAGTTACTTTTCTTCCACAACGATAACCTTATTTTCAAGATTCTTCTGTCAATCATACCACCTTAATGATAGTAGTACTTCACTTGTTGACTATTTATTTTAAGTAAATACTTGGTTACTTTTAAGCAGATGCGAAGAATTCTTTCTTACTTGTTTGAGTCTAAAGTACGAAATACAAGGAAATGTTAAAGTAGCTCGTTGCTTCCAACAAATAGTGCCATCAGAGTATAAGCGAAGTGATTGTGCGCCATACGTCGCAACTGATTCGAAGATATTCGTGTCAGGCCTCCAAATTTTAATACCTTTCGGAATCTAAAACACGAAAATTACTTCATAAAACGCAATGACAGGTTTATTTAAGGTAAAAAACTAAAAAATTCCATTATGACTGCTATATCTGTGTAAAGAAATGGACGAATGTATAGTTCAAAATTCTTCATAATTTGAATTCTATTAGAAATAAAAGAAAAAGCGCTTGCGGTAGTAGATTTAATGCCAGAATATTTAAGACGGGAATCTCGCCATTTTTGGAATATTTCGCATGATAAAGAAACTGTATCAAATTGAACAATTATATGACGTATTGAAAAGCTTACTGTCACCTAAAACAATGATAATTAATATTATTTGAAAACGCTGCTGATTTTAACAATTACTGAAATGCACACAGCTCAAGTTGAGGCTCAGTTTTAGAAATTTCACTAAATTCAATGATTGACTCACTTAATGATTTAGCTTGGGCAACTGATACTTCTAATTAATTCCAACTTTTTGATGTCGTTGTTTATAAAGTCAAATATGGAAGTATTTGACTTTACAAATAAGAGTTGGACATTATCAAATCTTGACAGAGCGATATTTTATATGTAATTTAAGTGTGGAAAACGCACAGTAATGAATAATAATGAAATAGAAGTTAATTATTACAAAAATAAATAAATTAATAAACAGATAGCATAGAAAGGAAGCATGCAGACGAACATGCATACAAGCATGCATACCTCTACAGAACGATTATCAGCATGATCATAATTATATCCTAGAAGTAACTCCGAGAATTCGACCTGATTTGTGACCCGATTAATGACGAATGGAGTATCATTGCAAGAGCAACCATCTACCAGCAACAACAATAATGGTAGCATCTAAATAATCATTTTTAATTAAACACTGATCAGATATGCAAAGCTTTCGATTTCATTTGAAAAATTTGTGTGAACAACAAAACATGTAAAACATAACACAAATTTTTGAAACTGTTGGAATTTCCAAGATTTCTTAAATTTAAAGTCATATTTAGCACTAAAGATTTCTGTTTGATATTCCTTTATCCAAACCTTATTTTTATAAACTTTTTCATGAACAAATCACATTTTTATAAGCTGAAGCATAATAAAAGAAAGTAAAAAAAAAAACATAATAGAAAAGTAATTTATAAGAAAAATCACAATGCTTCAATTTGAACTAAATTGTATTCATTCACCAATAAACTAATTGTATTAAGAACAAAAATTCCAATATTAAAAAACATATAAAAATCCATACATTACTGCTGAAATCAAAATTCGATGAAGGCAATAAAGTTAAAAAATTTCGGAAATTTGCAGTAGTTTGAAATGAGAAATTCCTAAGCCTTTGAATTTAATTTCCTGAAATTGCAGCGCTAATGCTGGTTATGGATTTGCAAATGATACGATGCACTTCGATCATCCAAATAGAAAGCTGAAGGAGACACTCTGATATGAATTTCAGTTGTAACTAAAGAAATTTTCAAGTTCACTGACTTGCTAGCAAAGTTGTTGTCCACCAAATCTTCTGCATTCAAATATTTTTGTTTCATTAATTCTTCCTGGATTTTTCACCAAGGAATAGAATTAAGCAAATTCGATCATGCGATTTGAAATTTACGGTGATCACTGGATGACCTATCGCTCAGTTCAGTTCACTCGTAGTGGCTTAATCTTTTACAGGAACAGTGGACATATAGTTATGTATTATCTCATCAATGAGCCTTACATTAAATAGTTCTTAATTTCCAATTTTTATCGTAACTAATTTTGTGAACCATTTTTAAAATTAAATTTCATACGAGTCAATTGTACTTCATTAATAGAATCAATTTTTAGAACAATTTATTAAATGTTTCACCGCACTGACAGTCCGTTGTGCTCATTATGAATTGACAAATGCTGGACAGGAAAGCCATCACCTGTCCATGCTGTTTACATAACTCGGTAAATGAATACTACTACAAATTCATTCGAATGAATTTCTTCAAATTCTTAAAAGGAATTTCACGGAGAAATAATGTCCATCTTTCTTTCCAAAAAAAAAAAAAGAACCGATTCCCAATAATTGAAATCGATTCGAGCTGAAGGAGTGAATAAGGTAATGTCGGATTGATATTACCAGTTCATTTCATTTCAGGTAGATCGCATTAGGGCAAAAATAAGCAAAGGAATAACAAAAGCAAAGAGCAGTAGCAGTAGTCATTAGTTGATTGTTTTTGAACATTGAAAATGCCTGGCACATATATTATTCTTCGCTTCGGCCAAGAACATCCCACTGTTCCTTGGCTCCTATTTTAAGATATTTATTTGTTTCCAATTGGAATCAATATGGAGCGAAATTAACTTGCTTTGCAGTGACTAAAAGTGATCGTTTTCTCCTTCCCCGCCATTCCTGTATTCCTTAGCCAAAATTAATCCATAAAGCAAAGGAACTTACGCTCCAGACTGAGCAGATTGATTTCCCAGAGAACGAGAATAAGTCTAATATATCTAATATATCACCTGAATTGACTTTAAATTTATTTTGGACTTCATACCACATCTTTTTGTTATACATTTTTTGTCAATTTCTGATGAAAATATGACGGCGAGAAATTTTTCTCTCTGAAATTTTTATTTCCTTTTATTAGCTTTTTCTTACAGTGATGAAATTTAGTTCACTAGTGTGACTTTACCAACATCTGAAAATGGTATTTTACAAATATACAAACTGACAAACGAAACTCTTTTTGTACTAACCAAAAAAAAATTGCTGATTCTATGGAGTTCCAAAGGAAATACGCAAATCGCAGATGAAAAATCATTGGCCAAAGCTTTGAAGTCTTCAAGAATAGACAAATAGACAAAGGAAGAGGAAGCGATGTGATTTTATTGTTGCTTTGAAAGCTGTGCAAAGAGTTGAAGAATGGAAGGCCTATTTTAGACACTGAAAAAGGAAAAAGCTATTTGGATATTTTTGAGAAAAATTGGGGTTTTTTTTTTCTAAGGAAAAGATATATACCCATCAAAGTTTTGAAATATTAGACAAAAAATACTGCAGATTCTTCTAAATCTTGCACTTACCCTTATGCACACAAATGCATATTTAGGAAGGAAATATTATCATAAACGTCAGAAAATTTCAAAAAGAAGCACTGCATGCCGAAAGGAATGTTGTTTTCTTTACGACTTTTTTGTGAAATTTAATTTGATTTGAAACATAAATCATTAAATGGGAATTAAAAATCATTTACACAGCTATTAATAAGAACAAACAAATTGTTCTGGTGAAGTCATAGAAATCTCAAATTTCATTCAACTTATTAATAAATGTTTCAGATTTTATGGTCATAGCGTTAGTTTCACTAATTTAATGAAATATTAGAGATGCCAAAAATCAAAGCTAAAGACATTTAGGACCAGAAGTTGAAGTCATTTTGTAATTTCAGATGTGGAACGAATCAGTTCTCACATAGCTTTTATAGTTACGTAAAATACTGCAAGGACTGAGGTACAGTTTATAAAACTATGAAAACAATGAAAATTAATTGTTGTTAAGGTGAAATTTCCAGGTATATGGAATAATTTCATTAAAATATTTCGTCAATATTAGAAGCAACTCAAAATTCAACATGAAATCCATCATTTATCCATTTAGAAGTAACGACTAAGGATTAAAATATTAGAAGAATTTTTCTTTAGTAAGATTAATCAAAGCTATTAAATTTTCATCTATTCAATAATAAATTTATAAAGTATCTCTGTCTCCTCTGATCATTATTAATAATGATATGATTAATAAAAATTCAGGCCAATTCCGGCGGTAATTTTCATTAGAAGTAAGCTCGAAAATACTTCTGAAATAGGTTTAAATCAATTTAATTTAATTTCTCTTCACAAGTCTATATTTTCATCTGGTAAATCGTAAAGGATTTTTTGAAACATCAAGTCTATCCGTTTGGACAATATCAGAAGCAAAGTCATATTTTATCAGTTTTGGCTAGATGTGCAATATGATTTAAAAATGAACAAGAAGCGATTCATTAATAAGCTTTGACGACGTGGCTCTTAGCAAGAAAGGAATTTTGCTCGAGTTGAGCCTTCTTCTGATTCGAATTAGTTAAAATTAGCTTTTCAATTATTTAAATTCGATCTTGTGAAAGGAAGCAAAGCATTCATGAGCATTGCATTAGAATTGAAAGTTTTTCATTAGCATTTTTAAAACTAACCATATATTTGTTTGGAGCTATAGCTTATCCCTGAGGTTTCTTTGCTCAAATCTCTTAACGCTATTTGATTTTGATGATTAAATTAATTTAATTTCTTATTTAAGTATTTTAATTTGATAGCACTTTAAAAAGCAGCTAAAAAATTACGAATTAATTAAAAATTACTTTTCTGCATTTCAGCTGAAGTTCATGAATAATTTGAAATATTTTCTCAAAAAAATTCAAGAATTTGCAGAATGCTGCAGACAGGAATCATTTCTTTATATAGCTTAATTGCAAATGTGAGCTCTCTGAAGAATCCATAAAAATGGTATAGAGGTCAGAAATATTTAAATTAATTTTAAGAACGTTTCTCAGCGATATCAGAATTTCGTGTTTATCTGATGCTTCCTGCACTTTCTCTGCTTTTGGAGAATAAGCTTTTTAAATTTAATTAAGTTAGTTTCTGTTTAGAAGATAATTGCATTTCGAAGTTTCTATCAGCACTATCAAAAAAAGTTCTAAGTTGTGCTACACATTCAAGTAAACTGGAAATATTTCTGCACTACAAATGTTTCCCTTATTCAAATTTTAAGTGCTATTTGCGATTCAAATTCTATCTGTTTAAATATCATTAAAAATATTTAACTTTTTTCGAATCCGACAGAAAATTGATTAATGATTAAAGAGGTAATGTTCCATCAAAAATCATTTAATAATTCCAAAGAATGAAATTGAAATAACACTTAAAACAATGTTCTAGGAATTTCCAACTTTTAGCAAAAAAATCCTATCCAGTCTTCCAGAATTCAAATTTCGGTTTTGAAAAAAAAAAAAAAGAAGTAGTATCGGCTTTAATCGAAACAGATGTGGAAAACAGTGACCTAATTTCATTTGTGAATATTTAGCTTGACACGACTTTTAACAAGTAACACGCAATAAATGATTTTTTTTATACTTCAAATTTTGTCTTTCCTTTCGAAACTTTTGTATGTTCTGGAAGAATGGCGAATGCTGCGAATACGCTGAATAGTGCTGCATAATATTAAATAATTTGTTGTTGAAATTTATATTTCAATGTTTTTGGAATGACATATGACAAATTAGGAAGGAAATATAATGAAGTTTGGCCAAGACTATACATATACATGCAGTATCATTTAGCAGGGAAAGATAGTAGGAATGGGCCAATTTTCAATCAGTTCTTTGGACTTCTATTTTCAGAAAAAAATTAAAGGAATGCACGAAGGTTTCTCTCTCTCTCTCTCTCTCTCTCTCGAGGCTATTGACTGTACAAATTATTCAAATTGGGATATTATAATATCAATAATGCGATTTTACTTGACAACAGTGACACAAACTGAAGTGCGTTTATAGTTTTCCATGTTCTAAGTTACTGGCAAAATGTGCTTATGAATGAGTCCTCGAAATTCACATAAATCATTTTTTCTTGCAGGTCAACAATATCATAAGAAATAGTACTCGATTATATATTTACTCAGTCAACTTCGCCTAAAGAAATTCTAAATTGAACATAAACATATTTCATCGCAATATATCCATAATAGTTGAAGGAGCGGAAAAAACAATAAAGAAATGATTCATAAAATGCGACAAAATGGTCGACAATCCGAAAACGTTAAGGTTAGAGGTCATAAGAATATATGG